CAGTGGCTTTGAATGCAACATTTTGTTCCCCGGTGGCTTTAACGCAGCATTTTGTTCCTCAGTGGATTCCACACATTTTTCTTAATTAACAAAGTGAAGTCAGTGAACACACCAATTTTTTAAATTGTAGTCAGCATACTTGTTCCATAGTGACTTTGAATGCAGAATTTTGGCTAACAGCCATACGTATGTTGTTTCATAATGACACTGAAGGCAACCTTTGGTTCATTAATGAGATTTTTGTTTATAAAAATAAAACAATAAATAAAAAAATAATAAATAAAAAGGCTTGGGGGTTTAAAGCGTTTTGGTTTATTGCTTCATTGTTTGCTGCACTTTATTCAACAATAGATTCTCTTCAGTACTCAGTAGGGGTTTTTGTTAAATATTTACAAAAAAACAAAACATTTTGCTTAGAAAAGACTTTACGCTTGGCTTGTTGTTCAGAAAGGACATTGAACATATCATTTTATGCAGTAGTCGTATTGAATGCAGCATTATGTTTCATAACGAAACGGAACCTGATGTTTTTTTTTTTATAATAACATTAAATCTGTTTGTTTGGTTTTTGACTTTATTTGTACTATTTTGTTTTAGAATGAAAGTGAAGACAACACTTTGGTACATAGATGCAGTGAACGCAGCATTTTGTTGGAGCTTAGAATTACAGACAGAAATCCAAATTATTATTAGAGGAAGGAAATTAAAGAAGTAATTTTTTTCAGTAATGACACTAAATGCATTGTTTAGCATCATGTGTTTGCTAACTTCCTGATGTTTCTCTTCTCTCTCAGTGCCAAGATGGCCGCTGGAAGCCCTTCCTGGTTAAGCCCCTCCCCTCCCAGCTCATGAAGCCCCTGCTGGTGTTTGTTAATCCAAAGAGCGGCGGGAATCAGGTAGTTTTTTCAAAAAAAGGCAACAAATAAATTTGTTAATAGAATAAATGTAAAAACAACCAAAGCTTGGATCGGAAGCTAGCAGCTGCTGCTGAAAAGGTGGCGTTTCCCATCTGCTGATGGAGATCCAGTCCTCAGAAGATGGGTCAGAAATGATGGCGATTTCACAGCTACCTGCTGACCACATCAGTGTCTCACATCCTAAGGGGCCGGGTTTGGTTGTCCTCGCTGCTGATCCCCTGTCTTCTTCTTCTTCAGGGTGCAAAGATCATCCAGTCGTTCATGTGGTACCTGAACCCTCGGCAGGTGTTTGACCTGACCAAAGGTGGACCCAGGGAGGGGTGAGAGCTGCTGAATGTTTATTACTCAGTCATTCCAGCCACCGTTTCCCCAGATTGTTCCAGTTTTCTTTTCCCAGCTTCATGATGTCTCCTGACTGTTGTCCCCCCCACCCCTGCAGGCTGGAGCTGTACTCCAAAGTTCCCAACCTGAGGATCCTGGCCTGTGGTGGCGACGGCACCGTGAGTGGGGCCCATGTTAAATAAATCATAGCTGGGCATCAGATGCTGTGGTTACATAACGTCTGTCTGTTCAGGTGGGGTGGATCCTGTCCGTGTTGGACCAGCTGAAGCTCCGCCCCCAGCCTCCGGTCGCCATCCTTCCTCTGGGGACGGGCAACGACCTGGCCAGGACTCTGAACTGGGGAGGGGTGAGTGTAACCTGGAGCTTGTTGTGTTTGCAGGGAATGAATGAAGCAGCTCTCCAGTCAACCTGCTGTACTCTTGCCTCAGGGCTACACGGACGAACCCATCACTAAGATCCTGTCCCACGTTGAGGACGGGAACGTCGTCCAGCTGGATCGATGGAACCTGAACGTGGAGGCCAACCCGGAGGCTCAACCCGAGGAGAGAGACGAGCAGCAGACCGACAAGGTCGGCACGGACTCCTGAGGGAAGATCTGGTTTGTAAAACATGAACCGGTTCTCTCTGACCATTGTCTGACCTGATCCCTCAGCTTCCGATTGACGTCTTCAACAACTACTTCAGCCTGGGCTTCGACGCCCACGTCACACTGGGCTTCCATGAATCCAGAGGTCAGTCAGGCCCACACCTGTTCTCTGTCATTCCAGGTGTCTGTTGCTGCTGGTTTTGGTCCAGGAAATGAAACGGTTTGGGTCAAGCTTCAGCTGGAAGACAGATGGGCTCTCACTCTGCGGAGCTGATGTGGCTGTAGAACAAGCCCGCATCATCAGGCCTCCGCAGCTGTGCTTGACCATTGGTCATTGACCATGGAACTCGAACAGGAAATGAACGAGAAAATCCATATTTCCAAAAGAAAACGCAGAAAACAGACAAAATGTCCCCTAAATGTCTTTCAGTAAATGAAGCTAGAGACGTGTGTAAATTAAAGCTGTAGTGGAGGATCTGTCGCTCCTTTGCTCTTACTCTGCATGCGTATTTCTGCTGTTTATGTCCTGTTAGCCTTGGCTGTAGCGCCACTGCTCTCACCATACATTATAAACATACCGAGAGTCTGGAAGCAGTTTTACACGTTTATGAGAAGAGGGAGAAGTTACTTTTTTACTTTCTTCTTTTTCAGACAAATTTAAAACTATAACACTAACTAGTTGTGGTTCTGAATAACATAAATGCATACATAAATAAATAAATAAATTGAGTTGGTTTATTTGTTATTTATCTCTAATTGTAGAGAGGACTCCTCCATGAAGAAATCAGTTTTCCTTCTCTGCCATAAAACACAAAAAGTCCTCCTAAAACTATGGATGCAGGATA